GAGAAGGAGGCTGGTGTGAGGAAACTGGTGGAGGAGGAGGAGGAGGAGGAGGAGGAGGAGGAGGAGGAGGAGGAGGAGGAGGGGGAGGCCAGTGGAGGGAGGTAGATGTAAAGGGAGGGAGGGAGGCCCAGTTGCAGGAGAAGGTAGAGGGACGAGGGAGGAGGAGTTCCAGGAGTTCCGCCATGGCGTAGCCTTCCAACACAACCTATCAGCGTGTGGGAAACAGGCCGCGGGAAACGCTATCAAGGTATTCGCGCCTGACCTTCGATATTGCACCTGGTTTGCATGGCTGTGCAGGGCCCCTGAGCTGAGCCTCACCGAAGAAGCCGCAGGTGCCACAGTACCACAATTAAAGGTTTTTTCTGATATACGAGGGCATGGGAAGGATGGGTCCAGCCGCCAGCCATGTGTAAACGCCGTCCCCTGGGCACTCGGACTAATTGGCCATTTTACGTGCAGGAGTCGAAACCAAACATTTTGTTAGCACTGCAGACAATGCCGCAATCGTCAAGGAGCCTTTACACACGCTACACGCCCTCCCACTTTCGGTCAGGGTGTGCTGGGACGCGAAGCGTGCAACAGCTATTGGTGGGGGGGAAGAGGCGGAGGCGGAGGACCAGGAGGGACTTAGCCTTAACTTCTCCAGTCAACTGGGAAGCCTGAATTGAGTCAAGTGCAACTCGCAGCAGCCTCCTTCGCACAGTCCAAGCTTTCTGCTCAATGAGCAAGACCTGGTGACGAGTGACCTGGGGAACTCGCGCAAGCGCGGCAGCCTCTCCAGCAAGGGCGTCTACACAAACATTGCCTAGCACAAGCCAGGACGGGATATTACGAGCCATGACTTTGACCCGTTTTAAACGAGACGGGATTTGCATGACTACGATGCTAGATGGGTGCCTGCCTTGAGCTAGAAGAAGCCTACCTATCTGGCGCCAGATGTCTGCCTGGGGGCCCTCTGGCCGCCGAAACAATTCAGCATAGCACCCCCGAGCGACGTCAGCACAGTCAGTTACATCAACGAACACTCCAAGAGAGAATCGCAGAGCCCATTCGAATGCTCTCAACTCCCCTCGGGGGATGCTTTGAGCCGGCCCTGTGAGAGACCCGAAGAAGTGAGGACCCAGGAGGAGGGGAGAGAAGCACGAGAAAGTGGCCACAGCTAAGCCTACACGTTCTCAGCCTTGTGTCGGCCGTGTCCCGACCCCCCGACGCGTCCTACAGACCACCAGTGGCGACGAGGACCCAGAGCCCAGACAGCCCTCGCCGAGGCCATCCGTCAGGAGCTGATCCCTGAAACAACTCCCGTCGTCGGGCGGTGGGGGAAGCCTGGTCCAGGGAGTCGGGATTAAAGCTCGCATCCAAAAACAAGCGTAGGCGTCATATTCAACTATAGCCTGCGGGACCAGCTCATTTGAATCATCGTCCGTTTCGGAATTACAGTTGGCCTCACACGTCCAATTCTTGTGCAAAGCCGCATGCTTGTCTTGTCCGCACCGAATGCACAGGTTGTCTGAACAAATATTAGAGTCGAAGCTGCGCTCCTTTGTCCAATCTCCTCCAGTCGCTAACGTTACACGAAGCTCGGACAGCTGACGACCTTTGCGAACATGAAGTAGGTTGGAAATCATAGCCTGCAGAGAGCCCAGATCCGTGCTTTCCAAAGCCCGACCCACAGAATGACGACGAAGCTTCTCCACTGCTTGAGCTCGAAAGTGCGCTGCAACTCATCCGAGAGAGGGTTCGCCTGGTAAAGCACCTCGAAGTCCCCACTGCTGAAGTGCCAAGTGTGGGCCATCGTGGTACCATCATGCGGCACTGCCCAATCTGTCGGTGAGATCGGTGACCACCCCGCCTCGAGCAAATATAAATAATCACTGTCGTCATCGGGCCACGTGCGTGCCGAACTCGCTGCCCGTCTGGAAGACCCTGAAGATGCGTCACAGCAGGTGGCCATGCACGTTATATCGCTTGTTTCATCCTGTCTTCGATAAACCACACCTGCAGCCACTGAGAAGCATGCTGGCGTGGAAGCACAACCCCAGGATCGCAACTGGGCAATCTCAGGGACGAAAGGGTAGTGAGGCATCTGCCTCGCTTCGCCGACCCAGCCACGGCGCCCAATCTGCGCCGGTGTGTCAGCATAGCCGTGCCGAACCGGCCGTGCACGTGATGACCACACTCAGCCTGCCGACTGCGGCCCTGGTCTCTGGCGCGTGGCCGCAGCGGCCCAGCGCCTCGCCGCGTGGGCGAAGCGCTGCCATCGAGCACGATGCCTGCTAGACTCGAGAGGGCACGCTGCCTCA